TCGAAGCTCCAAGGTGTCAGCACAGAGTCCAACACAGGGCTCAAACTCATGAACCGCGAGATCATGACCTGAGCTGAAATCAGACACTCAACCAACTGAGCCACCCAGGAGCCCCTATAAAATAATTTTCTGACCTAAAATCACCGAACTAAGAAATAGATGACCTGATAGGATTTGAATTCAGATCTTTTGAATGCAAATTGTGTATTGTTCTTGTTTAATTCTCCTCCATCCTAATTTTAACTTTCCACCATAAGAAAAATGAAACAGAAGTGCTGAATGGCTAGCTTGTCCAATCCTCTTAAGATAAGTGAATATGACATGAAGATATGGTCACTGTATCCACAGAAGGAATCTGACAACCAGAGAGGTGACGCAGTATGAGTACTTGGTGAGTAGAAGAATACATTGTATAGTAATACTGGTTTTGGAAATTTTAGCCAAAGAAACCAGGGCAATTCCCTACAGTTACATTGCATAGCTGCTGAGAGCCTGCACCACATCTGTGGTGATAAATTCCCCCATGGAGCTAATTACTTGGAGAAAGGAAGGAGGCAAAGATGAACATCCCCTGTGGAATATGCTCTTGCACTACACAGCTCCACCTCAATCTACTGAAGTATCAAAACTGAGATTTTCCCAAAGAGGCCATGTCAGCTCTGAGGTTAATCGAGGAACATCATATTAACAAAATCAGGACCTGATGGAAGGAACACTCTGAAAAGATGCCAGATTTCACATAGCAGACTACAGAGGTGAAATGAAATCCTTCTGCCGGTTACCAAGGATGCTTGTGCTTATCAAGGATAAGGATGTACATCTTGATGTTGACTTAATCTTTGTCTGTCAAAGAGTTCCTGGTCATCTCTCCCCTCCTGCCACATCCTTTTCTCTGATGACACCCCAGGAAGTGGGTACCTGTTTCTCAAAACATCCCCCAAACTCAACCTCCTCAGTGAATCACTTTAGATTCCTGAAGGAAGTGTTAATACAACCGGATTTCCACCTGATGATCTATCAGCTCTTTCTCCTTTGTTATTTTTTTTTTCCAGTGGGAATTCCCATGGTTCCCTTTAACAGCTATATTAACTGTGGTGTAGTTCTTCTTAAAGCACTCTCTGAAAGAAAAATTCATAACCATTTATCCTCCAGAATATAAGAATTCTCTTAGGGCAGAGAAGGAGCAACTAAGGGGTGGTGTGTTTGGTGCATAATACAAATGAACACTTTGTTTTTTACTTTTACAATAGTTTAGGGCTGCTAAGCAGGATCAGTGTGGCTTTCAGTAAGGGGCATCTGTGGCTACCTTTTCCCGTGTCAGGGACCTATCCAATGCCCATATATCATTTACTTTTATTTACTGTAAGTTCCTTCCTCTGCCTATTTGTGAGTACCTCTCACATGGGCCTTTAAAAGCTTGTTATTTAGTTGTGAATACCCAAGAGGTCACTTCTTTCCTGAAGAATCATGTTGCTTGAGATGAAGAGGACTACTATTGAGACAAGGGTTGCCAGATTTAGCAAATTAAAATATAGGCTTAAATTTGAATTTCAGATAAACAACAGAGATTCTTTAGTATAAGTATATCCCAAATATTATTCATTTCTGGGACACAGTTATACTATGTCCAATACCTTTCTAAACTGATTAAAATATTCTATTAAAAATTATTCCTTGTTGACCTGAAATTCAAATTTAACTAGGTGTTTTGTATTTTATCTGGCAATTCTATCTGAGATCCGTTTTCATATTCTACGTAGACCAGAGCTAGGCTACATCAGAGGAAGCAGCACATTTTTTAAGTTTCCCAATTAGCGGAGGGGTAGAGTGGTAGTCTTTCCCCACTAAACATGGCAGAGGAAGGGCTATTATGCACATCCCTCAGGACTGACCCACTCTGCCACCTCAGAATCAGGGTGGATACGACATATCTGCTTGATAGTGTTTTATACATCATTATGTGAAGCTACTCTTGGCATCTTTTGGAGGCAGCCATTTTAATTAATTGCTATTCTTTTGTACTTCCTCCCTGAGGTGATTTTTCAGAATCTTTAACTATAAATCTAATCAGCAAATTCCTGGGTCTATTTAAATATTGACATTTAAAAATTTTTTAGGATAGCAGTAAACATTAATGAGATAGAGGATATAGAAGAGAAATGAAATATAATTGCTGTTGGAGTTCATTAAAAAAAAACAAACTTTTCCTAAGCGTTAAACTGAAACACATTATCTTCAGAGCATGATGTTTCTAAGCCATGTTTGAAGGTCCAACCACAGTTTAGAGTAACTAGTACAGAGTTCAAATGAGTTATAGTAAAAAAAAAAAAAAAAAAAAAAGACCACAAACAAACCCAAATTCTGAATGTCAAACTAGAATTCTAATAGACTCTAAAATTCACTTAATTAGAAGCCTAGAATATTAAGGCCAACAATTTTTGAACCACTGGATAAACTCTTTGATAAAGGAAGCCTATTGCCATATATCACAGCTGCATTGCCATCCTCTGGCCTTAACTTTTTAGAGATAGAATTTAGGTCCCGCTCCACCCCAATTTTTCTCATTTTAAAGAATTGGCGTGGTTTATCTTGAATACTGAGAACAAACTGAGGGCTGATAGGGGTGGGGGAGGGGGGAAGGGGGTGATGGGCATGGAGGAGGGCACTTGTTGGGGATGAGCACTGGGTGTCATATGGAAACCAAGTTGACAATAAACTATGATAGAAAAAAAATAAAATAAAGAAAAAGAATTGGCATGGTTTGGACTTAACATGGGGGAAAAGGGGCTCTGTCATAGCTTTGTTACCACTCCCGTCAAAATTCTGTAATGGAGTGGTAGATTAAAGATGGCCATACATTCTCTGCTCTTTTTCACATTGAAAATGAATACTTTCCTTTTCCTTGAATCTGGATTGGGCTTAGTGACTTGCTTGATCAATAGAATGCAGCACAAGTGACATTCTGGGGGTGTTGAGACCATTTTATAATTAAAAACATTTTTTTATGTTTATTTTTGGGAGAGGGAGAGACAGAGCATGAGCAGGGGAGGGGAAGAGAGAGTAGGAGATACAGAATCTGAAGCAGGCTCCAGGCTCTGAGCCGTCAGCACAGACGTGGGGCTCGAACTTATGAACTGAGAGATCATGACCTGAGCCAAAGTCAGCTGCTTAACTGACTGAGCCGCCCAGGTGTTTGGAGACAGTTTTATAAGAAGCTTTTTGACTTTTACCCAAGCCTCTTGAAATGCTCTCAGTCTGGGAGCCCTGAGTTACCGTGTAATTGCCTGAGACCACATAGCTGGAGAGGCCGTGTGTAGGTCATCTGGTCAGTGTTCGAACAGAGTTCAGCCTTGTAGCCATCTCCATCCCTGCATACACGTGAGTGAAGCCATTTTGGGCCTCCAGACCAGCCTCCTCACCTGCTAAGTATTACAAGGGACTTCATATCGATCCCTCTAGGAATAGAAGAACAGCCCAGCCAAGCCTGCTGGAGTTCTTGACCCCTGAAATCATGATATAATAAGATGGTTGTTATTTCAAGCCATTAAGTTTTGGAGTAGTTCATTAAGCAGCAAGAGATACCAGGACAAATAGTGACATACTGATCTTTATGCTTAAAAAGAGAATGAGGTGAAAGGAAAAAAAAAAGGTGGGCTGATTGGAAAAGGTGAAGGGGTTGGAATGGAGTGGAAGGAGATCATAAAAGCCCTGGACGCAAATGACAGATGGGCTAGGGATTTAGAAGACTTTATAGCAGGTTAAAAAAATCAGAGTCACAAATTTTTTTATCAGGCTACTACTATGATTGGCCCGACTTCGTAGGGCTTCAGAAGGAAAAAAGCAGTAAGGTCTTGTGTCCTGCAGATGCTGTGAGCAGTAATGAATAAACATGACAAATAAAAATGCTTTGAATAAGAGCTGAAAATGCTAAAGAGGAGCAATCTTTGCACCTACTGAAAATCGTTCATCGGATGATTTCAAATTGAAGTATCTCAGGAGAAACTAACTTTGAAAACACAAACAGATTTTTATTTTTTGTACTTTTATTGAAAAGGTACATTTAAAAAAATACACAGACATTTTACCATTTACAGATTGCAGATATAGATGCTCTAAAAGAGTTCACTCTATTTTGTTGTTTTATGATGCCTCTTGCCCCTGATACCACAAACATTCCAGTCTTGTTGATACCAGTTTAGAAAGGGGGGCATGGGAGCGCGACCTGCAACATATTCAGTGAACAGAAAGACAAATTGTTCAATTATAAATTTTTTTATCTTCTGTACATTATTGCATTAGGGAGCCACAAAATTATGTAGCATCGTTACAAATGAAAACAGGTTAAAAATGAAGATAATTACGTAGAAATACATGGATTCATTGTCTCCTTGCAGAATGCACAAGAGGTGCAAGAATGTGCAATTGAGGAAGCTCTTTTTCTGGTTGTATACATTTGCTTAGCAACTCAAACTCGTGAGGAAGCTACAAAATAAGTTAAACAAAAATAGCAAACAGATAGTAATTATAGCTATGTTATATGGCTTTCTAGTTCTTTTCAATATCACCAAATGAAACGTAAAATAAAGAAAATACATTATCTTTTGTTCTCTTAAAGAGAGAATTCAAGCTACTTTGCTTCCTAACATTTACACAGCGACTAAAAAAATGTGGAATTCAGACAAGAGATACAGATCTAGTACTACACAGGATACAACAGTACTTGGGTCTAGAACAGTACACAATCCCTGTCAACAACAGTACACCGTAAAAGGGAAACATTGTGATCCGTTGGTAAGATGGTGTCCACAAGCAAGCACTTGTGTTCGTTCATCTATTTTTGTTCCACACTAGAATGTGCCCAGTTCGATTCCAGAGTTATTTACAGACGTGTGAGGAAGACCCTAGTTTTCAAGTCTGTCAGGAAAATATTCCTTGTCGTTCCTAAGCCAGATCACACCCATGGAAAAATAGAGAATGGTTTATAGATACATTTTTTTTTTCTGACCAATACATTTGCAAGAAACCAAATATCTCAGATACACAAATCGAGGTCGGGGTGTGGGTGGGGGGGCTGGGAGTGGGGAGAACAGGGGGATAAAGCCTGTGCTGCTCAGATCCCTAGTTTCGGGAGCGGTCCCTAAAAGCACTCTTGAGCCTAGTGATTTCTTAGTCTTTGGAGTCGGGGCCGCCGTGGCGCGCCGCGCGGTGTGGCCGGGGTGGGGGCCCGCGACGCGCCCCTCGGGCCTCCCGGGGGCGCCGCGGGGCGGGCGGGCGGCCGTCAGTAGGGCGCGAAGAGGATGGAGGCGGGCGTGGCGCGGATGGGCCCGTGGCCCGGCCGCAGCAGAGCCGGAGGTATGGCCGTCGCCTGGAACAGCGACGCCGACGGCCGGGGAGGCAGCGACAGCGCCGACGACACCGCCGCCGCCGCCGCCAGAGGCGACGACAGGAAGGCCGGGGCCAAAGGCTTCATCATGTCTTTCTGGAATGCAAGTTTTGCCTGTCGGAGGGAGAAAACCAGGAACGGGGTGGGGATAGTGTTTTGCGTAAGCGACACGGACGTTAAGGAGTCACATTTTAAAAATCTTTGCTCTCTGGAAGTCAAGAAATGAGGTTCGCAACGCTGGCTGCAAAGGCTCTGGGTACACCTTTACTTGGATCTGTTTCCATTTCAGCTCTTTTTGGTGGTCTTTGCCCCTGGGCCTGAGGACACCGGAGGGCCTCTCTGAATAGATACTAAAGCTATTTTATGCTGCTTCTCACAAAGAAAAAACAAACATACCCAGAAGGTTTCCTGCTTAAATAACGGAGCTCAATTTAAAATTCTGACTTGTCCTAAACCACAGTGCAGCCTTGAGAGAGGGGTTTTTGTTTTGTTTTGTTTCTGAGAATATCCATGACCTTTCACTTCTCTTTGAAGAGCTGCACTGGGTGAGCTAACTGGGGTTCAAGACATTAGGGGCTTATTAAAAGACACGACAACAGTCAGTTTCACACCTCTCGCTCTGGCCACTTAAAGAATATTCCCTGAAAAACTGCAGCCAACTCAAATTTCTGTCATTGGGAATGACGGTAAGTGTGCTATAAACGTTCTCTATTTAAAGGAATCCCAAGGTGGAATCTTCCTGTGAAGTAAGAAATCAATCCTTAATTTCTCTCTTTTGCAATCAGGAGAAGCTTTGCACACTGGATTTGTTTAATGCAGGTAACACCTGCTTGCAGCATCAGATGGAGGCTTTGCAGAAGCGGGGAGCATCGCCTCCAGCTGGCCAATCCGGTTTCAACTTCAAATGGAATGCCACACTGGGCTCAGTCCCAGGGAGATTATGAAATCCATCCATCTGGGTATTTATATGACATCTATTGCTGGCGCCCCTGGGTATTTTTGCAAAGAAACTGAAAGCAGCACATATTGAGAGCAGGTAGGACAGGCTGAATACCAACATGCCTGCTAGACAAGGGAAGAGAGGAATACAAACACTTTCATTTCCGGAGGCAGGGGTGCGTGGGGGTGCAGAGGGGAGATGGAGGAGGGAGAAGAGGGAGAGCCCTCTAGAAAGCGAGAAGGCATTAAGTGGATTTTGTTTTAGGAAAGCAAGCCCTCTTCCCAGGCACAACACGTTCCGGGATGCCTTGGGCATTACTGGTCTGTGTTCCTGAGTCTTTATTTTTCTTTATAAGCTAAGGAAGTAGGCTGTTGGAAAAGGTTCCTGGTGATGAGTAAGGTATTAGCTTCTAAAGAGGTTCCGTTTCTGTTCTGTAAAGAGGCTTCCTTCAAGGTGTCCTACAGCAGGGACTAAGCAGTCCATCCTGAAACTTCTGTCTGTGAGGGCTATTTAAATTCACAACCTTTCAGGACCAATTAGTCCCCAGGCCCTCCTAAACCACAGTCCCTGCCCAAGGCAGCAAGGCAGACCCACAAAACTGGTGAGCAGGTGAGGTGAACTTACTGCTAAAATGCTTGGGCTCCGCTGGAGTTTGTTGTAAGGGCTGTATTTCGGCTTCAGTGGCTTCCCTGCAACTCGATCCTTATGCCTTCGGCTAGAAATGTGCTGAAAAAAGTTTGATGCATTAGCTGAATCTAAATGTGAGCTTTATTCCCTGTCAAATATAGCTCCTAGATAGATGTAGCCGGTTGCTCCATTCCCGGTTCTAAGTTCACAGTTCCAAGGTGATGTGGCTAAGATCACTACGCTACACTTGCTCCCCACTCAATTTTTTTTAATGTTTATTTTTGACAGAGAGAGATTGAGAGCATGAGCAGGGGAGGATCAGAGAGAGAGGGAGACAGAGGATCTGAAGCGGGCTCTGTGCTGGCAGTAGGCAGCCCGATGTGGGGCTCAAACTCAGGAACCATGAGATCATGGCCTGAGCTGAAGTCAGATGCTTAACTGACTAAGCCACCCAGGCGCCCTTCCCCCGCCCCCTCCCCACTCAACTGTAATGCCTCTATTCCTTTCCTTTCTCTGTAGTACATACCCTGCTTTGCCTGTTCTTACCGCCACGACTAATGAATCTGTCTCCAAAACCAGACTTTTGGTCTTTGAAAGACAGGCTGAACGTCTTGTCTTCCAGAAGTTTCTGCTCGACTAGAAGTTCCAGATGACTGCTGTGCTTATCTGTCCCTAACACCTGTCCTGGATCTGGCTTATAGTAAAAATACCCACTTTTGTGGATATGCAAGTATTTGGTGCAAACTTTTTCTTACGTGCATGTTATGTCTTGTGTGTATCATGTAAACATTTATCTATGAGCGTAGTGAGAACCGCTACATAGATTAGATACACAATCAAGTGGTGACCCAAACAACAGTGAATACTAACTAACTCAGGATACATTACCTGTTTGAGTTGAATTTCTGAATTAACATGAACATCACAGATTTCACAATGAAATGTCTTATTTTGTAGTCCTGACCCCTTACTGCCATTCTGCATCTTTAATCTTGATCCAGGTCTAGGATAGGACTTAATTGGACCAGCTCCATTACGAGCTTCAACCATGGTCTTGTGTTTAGATCCTAAGACAGAAAGAGACATATGGTGAATAGCTATTTAAGAACTGAATAGATCTATGAACAGCTCTTTGTTTTCTTATCCTTGAGAAGTATATCTTCAGGATGAATTTCTCATTGCTTTTTAAAAAAGAACAATCATTTTCATGCTGATTACAAACACTTTTTATTTATTATAAATGATAATGCTGCTTATTCAACATATTTTCATTGTAAAAAATGGGAAAACATGAGTCCATTAGAAAGAAAATATGGAAAATATAAAAAAGCATAAGAAAATAAAGATTAGCTATGTTTTCACCACTTAGAGATAACCAGTGTTATTATTTTAGTTTAAAATTTTTTTCTAACATTTTATTTATTTTTGAGAGACAAAGACAGAGCACAAATTGGGGAGGGGCAGAGACAGAGGGAGACACAGATTCCAAAGCAGGCTCCAGGCTCTGAGCTGTCAGCACAGAGCCGGACGTGGGGCTTGAACCCACTAATCATGAGAACATGACCAGAGCTGAAGTTGGAAACTCAACCAACTGAGTCACTCAGGCACCCCTCATTTTTAGTTTTTTATTCAGGTTTTGTTTTGTTTGTATACTAAAAAATTATATTTTCAAAACTGGGATCATACTAGTTAAATATCCTGCAAATTTCACATAGCAAATCATATACTTTTTAAAGTAATTACATTTTAATGACTGAGTAATATATTCTCTCATATTGGGTTACTATAAGTTATTCGACATTTCCCTACTGAGGGATTTTTAAATTGTTTCCCCCCTTTTTTTACTAAGTGTGTTGCAGTGAACATTATGCATAGATATTTATCTTCATCTCTGTCACTTCATCATAATGAGTTTTGGGAAATATTAGATGCTTTTGAGGGAATAAAAAACAGAATAGGTTTTATCTTCAACTTGCTTTAAGCTTTTGCCTTGCAGTTTCCAAAGTTATTATATCTTACTTTTCTTAAAATCAGTCTTTTGAATCAAAAAAGTGGAGAAGACATTGAACAAACCTAATGTTAGAACAACAAAAGATACAATATTCTGAAGGGAAAGGTTGGTTTTGTTATAAACATTATTTAAATTCAAATGATAGCTGCTAACCTGTGTTGTGGGCCTCTAGCTGTGACAGGGAGTTCACAGCCACTTTGCATAGTGAACAATACAGTAATTTTTTGGCTTTTTCTTCTTCTGATTCAGAAACTGTACCAGGAGCTCCATTTGTGCTCTTTGAGGGGGAAGTGGCTGCTCCAGGTGGCAGGGGTGTCGTGCCGGGTTTGAGGAGAAACGAGCCACCGTCAGAGCCTGATGGCTGACTGGAACTGTTGACTTTTAGCTTCCCTTTATCTTCTAAGAGAGACACAGAAGAGATCGTATTAAAGCTCTGCACATCGTATAAACACAGGCAAATTGACATAAAGGAATTAAAACTAGAAATTTGATTGTTATATGTAGTTTTCATTTCCAGACTGAAAAATAACTCCATGCCATCAATTTCCAATATCAGCTCACCTGACTAAGAATATGATGACTTATGAAAAATGACTTATTTCTCTCACTGGCAGCAGGTAACTTTCTGAAAGCTTTCAGTTGTAAGTTATGCTCCAGAGAGGTCTTCAGTGTGTAAGAAAACCAACTACCTTCCAATACAATTACACGAAATAGTGGTCACATGAAATAAATCATTAGTCAATGGTAGTTTCATTTGACTATTCATTCTTTAATTAGGACATAAATATAAAGTTAAAACTCATCTTTTATACCAAGTTAAAATTTTAACATTGAGGTGTTGGGGTATAGATGAGAGAAGACACATGGTTAATTTTTTATTTTTTTTTTATTATTTTTTTTTAATGTTTTTTTTTTTTTTTTTTTTTTATTTCTAGGAGAGAGAGAGAGACAGCGTGAGCAGGGGAGGGTCAGAGAGAGAGGGAGTCACAGACTGAAACAGGCTCCAGGCTCTGAGCTGGCAGTCAGCACAGAGCCCGACGCGGGGCTCGAACCCATGAACCGCGAGATCATGACCCAAGCGAAAGTCGGACGCTTAACCGACTAAGCCACCCAGGCGCCCCGACACATGGTTAATTTTGATTATGATTAGTTAAATTTTTGCTGCTCTTTGAATGGCAAAGTAATTTGTCTAAAATACAAGATGCAAAGATTTCATTCATTATACTTAATACTGCCAGTCTAAATTATAAGTTGTTTTTTCTTTTAAGTAAACTCTACCCCCAATGTGGGGCTCGAACTCATGACCCCGAGATCAAGAGTTGCATGCTCTGTTGACTGAGCCAGCCAGACACCCCTAAATCGTAAGTTCTAAGTAATGACATTAACCAGAAGCACAATATGAAGATTAGCCAAATCATGTATAGACATCTTGGGCATTTTGATCATGTAGCTACTAAATGCTTATAATTCTCAAGGCCCATGGTGCAAGCTATAAGATGGGACAGAGTGACTTTAACAGACTCTAGCTCTTAGGGGTTCATTTGCTATTCAAGACAAGTTCTATTCAGTGGCCTCTTTGGAAAAGAAACTGGAACTTCGTAGGCAACAGCCTAATGCATCAGACATGTAAGTTGAGTAGAGCCAGTGCTTTTAGAAAATGTCTATAGATATGCTGACAAACTCTTATTAAGAGAAGAAGGAAATTAAAATGAATGCTTATTTGTTAATTGACCTAGCTAATTTGGAGCTGTGTACCATGGGCCTGGATCATGAAGAGGGAAGAAGTGACCAGGGGAACAGCAAGCCTGATAGTGTGTGTCTGTTCTGCATATGGGGCAAAGCTGGAGCTTTCATATACATTAAAAACACCAGGAGATCATATTTCTACTTGTTTGATTTAGGGATCAACAGTTGATTTCTATCCTGTGTGCTGCATTGGGTCTATCCGGGTCAAGACTAGCAGCGCTCTATAGATGAATCCCAGATCTGGATGGTGTTTGGAATAAGTGAATGCTCAGATCCCTTTTTATCCTGGGGTTTCACAATCTATATTCCTTTTCAGCAAGTTTATTAAAACTTCAGGATGCCACAAAGTGTGATGGAAAAGACCTTAGACTTTTACTAAACAGAACCTCCACAGTATGAGAGAAGGGAATAAAATCAATCTTCCTACATGGTAATAGTCAGTAAATTAGATTGAAGATTATTTCCGGCTTAGAACTCCCTCATCTATAAGGATCCCTTAGCATGATTTTACAATTTTATAGAACTCACAAAGCAGTGAAATAATTCAGTAATCTTAACATTTGCTCCTATGAAATTACTCTGTTTCTCGTGATGGAAACTTAAATTATTGCATAGTAAAATCTTTTATATAAATTTGACCTAAGGAATCTGACCTGTTTTAGTCATTTACTCATTCTCTCTTATTCATATTTATTTCATTCTCCTTTATATTGGTCTCCCTCATATGCTTTTACACTTTTATAGAACGATACAACTTACAAAGTGCTATTGCTTACATTATCTTATTATCTCTCATAACAAACTTGTGAAGTAGGCAAGGGGGAAAAATAATCAGCCCTATCTTATTTTTTAATATTTTAAAAGTTTATTCATTTATTTTTAGAGAGAGAGAGCATGGGGGAGGGCAGAGAGAGAGAGATGAAGAGAGAGAACCTCAAGCAGGGGCTTGATCCCACAAACTGTGAGATCATGACCTGAGTCTAAAACAAGAGTTGGACACTTAACCAGGTGAGCCACCCAGGCACACAAGTCATTTCTATCTTAAAGATGAGAAAACTCACGCTCCTCAAAATTGAATAATGTCCCACAGATTAGTAGGTGGCATAAATGAGCATGGTGTTTTCTGCAACTATTCACCGGGTAGTGCATTAATCTTCCTGCACAAAGGGTGGACTCCATATGGCATTAACATTATAAAAGGCATATAACGGTCACCAGAGATGTGATAAAGCTGTTGCTTTGTTTAGTTTCCAGGCATATTTGCCTTAAATGAAAATATCTAACCCTATTCAACAAACTGAGAATATGGACAAAATTATTTTTTCCTCTTTATTCCTATTTCTTTAAGAAAAATTAAACAGATTTCCTTTCTATATCTCCTTTTCAGAAGAGGTCATTTATTCATTAAAAATGCTTATTAACAAAATGCTAATTACTGACAATGTGCTAGACACTGGAGAGAATAGTAAATAAAGCAGGTATAGACCTTAAGAGAATAAAAGTTCAGCAGGGGAAATGAGGTAGTCATTCAGAGATCTCTAACTTATGAGAGCTTGGAGCAGGAAGTGATTTCTTCTGGTTCAGAAGAAAGATACATTCTTCTTAAAGGAAGTGATATTTTGGCCAGAATTTGAAGGTGAGATTTAGATAAGGATAGAATAAAGTGAGAAAGAGTAGGAAGTGAATGGTTACAGGTGGAAACATAAGGAAATGCTTAGGTGGTAGAAAACGGGGTTTGCTTGAATACCTGCTAGTTCAGCATAGGTGATGACAATGGGTGTAATGAGAGATATTATAAAGGTAAATTGAATCAGAAGGTAGAAAATATCTTTAAAACTAGTAAAATGGATACCAAGGGAGGCCATTTTCCTTTAAAAATATCAAGAGATAGGGTAAATTTAACATTTACATAAATTATGTTCTAGTTTTTATCCTCTAGGTAGGCCAGAGTCTTAATCTTTGTGAATACTAGGGATCAATTTTGCTTTGAAATGTGTAAAAGGTTGCATCATATTGAGGAAATTCTGCCATTGGGTTGATACTAGCTCATTAATAAAATAGATCCTAAAACCACCAAAGCAGTACTATACTTAAATTTTAGCATTCTTTCTGGGTGTGGAGATTTATAAGCTTCCAAAGCCTAATTTTATTATTCCTCACTTTAATTGCTTTATATTTTTATCAAAATCCATTATATTATTTTTCTTTCCTTATTGGCATTTTTAAAGCCTCCTTATTTTGTGTATTTGAAAGTTTAATTAATGTACTGTTTACTTCTGTTTCTTTTAATAAAGATGCATGTCATCTGGAACTTCTGGTTCATATGAATTCCATTTTCAAGTATTCCCTCACCTAATGTTAATTAGCAGGGCTTCTGACTGTCTTCATTATTTTCTGATTACCTAAACGCCTTTTTTAAGGTTTCATCCTACAGGACTTGGAAGCAAAATTTGCTTAGCTGCATCAGAATTACCCTTTGTAACAAATGTCTGTAATTTATGCATCCAAGTGAATTTAATTCTTCAAAGTGGCGATCCGCATCAATTCATTATTTTCCGAAGTTCTAAGCATTTTGAAAACCTCTTGTTTTGGAACTGTTTTAATATCTGTTGGTAAACCATGTGAAGGAAATCAGTTTTCAATATTAATTTATCATAGTTATTTTTTACAAGAAAACTTTACTTAGGTTAACCTACCTATTCCTCAAACTTAGTACTATATTCCTCAAAACACAGCCTCAGAGGACTAATAAGCTAACACATGATGAAAAGAACATGCTGGAAGTTCTTTTTTTTTTTTTTTTAAGTTAAGTTTTATTTATTTTGAGAAAGATAGAAAGCAAGCAGGGGAGGGACAGAGAGGGAGACAGAATCCTGAGCAGCCTCTGCACTATCAGCACAGAGCCCGATGCAGGGCTTGAACTCATGAACCATGATAACATGACCTGAGCAGACCTAAGCAGAAATCAAGAGTAGGATGCTTAACTGACTGAGCCACCCAGGTGCCCCAGAACATGCTGAATGTTCTGAAAGCAGCTTTCAGAAACTAATCCTGTTAGTAACAAGAAGACTCATGTCCATATATAGGTCTTAATTTAAAAACAATCAAAATAATATTCTAACTACATTATAGACCTTATATTTTGAAGTGGGACTTTGACAGCTATAATCCAATTTTTATGAGTCCACTTACAAGATTTAATCTTCAGTTTCATGCTATCAATATAAGTTTTTTCTAACCAAGTTTCAATGGTTTAATAATAGATACATAATTTATATATTTATGATCATTATAGGAAATAAAGTCAGACAAAAAATAAAAATCACCCATGATTCCATCACCTAAAATAAAAATCAGCAAACTTTTCTGAAAAGCACCTGATGGTAAATATATTAAGCTTTGTGGGACATACTGTTTCTCTTGCAGCTACTAAGCGTTGCTATTATGGTAGGAAAGCAGCCACCGGTATGGCTGTGATCTAACAAAATTTTATTGACAAAAGTAGGCAGCACGCTAGATTTAGCTCACAGGTAGTAGTTTGCCAACAGTTGACCTAGATTACTAAAATGATACCTGTTACTTCACACTTTTACACAGTACTATATGTGAATAGACAGAAACATGATGTAACTAACATTTTTCCAATGGTAATA